CCCCCCCCTTAAAAAAGAAAAACAGCATCTTCTGAAGGATCCCCTTCAAGCTGCTCTTCCACTTCTTCATCTCAACCCAAGTCCACAAAAACGTCCTCTGCCCTTGCCCCCCATCACCCTCCCTCCTGTTCACTCCTAGCTTCCGTGCAGTCCATTCCCTGTGCCAGTGCGACACTGCTCCCTGGGGCGCCGCCAGGCACCCCTGATTGAAAAGCCTGCTGGCCCATTTGAGCATCACCCCCATCAATGACTTTGTCACCTTTGACACAGTTGACCAGAATTCCACTCTTTTCTTTAATTACAAAAATGGTTTTATTGCTTGTATGTATAATAAAACCTAGGCCTACACACTAATGAAAATTTAGAAAACACAGACGAGGAGGAGGAGGGGGAGGAGGCAGGAGAGGAGAAAAATCAAGCAAGCACTGAGCTGGGCCAGTCACTTGGAGCACACATGTACATTCACTTTGCAAACACGATGCCGTGCTGCACATCCGCTTTTGTTATTTGCTTTCTCAAGAATCTCTAACTTTATATTTTAATTTCTTCCCTGTCAATACATACATATTGTCATTGTTTTGCAGCTATTTTTTAGGGCTTTTTAAAAGTGATTATTTATTTTGAGAGAGAGCATGAGCGGGGGAGGGGCAGAGAGAGAGGGGGAGAGAGAGAATCCCAAGCAGGTTCCCCAGTGTCAGTGTGTAGCCTGATGCGGGGCTCGAACTCATGAACTGTGAGATCATGACGGGAGCCACCCGGGCGCCCGTAGGACTTTTAATTCATGCCGCGAGATTGCCCTCCTCTGAGGTTGACTCAGTTTACGACCACCAGAGGTGGAGTAGCCCGCTTTTCAGCACCCCTGCTGGCACCAAATGTTACACTTTTTTAAAAAAAATATTTTTGAATGTGTATTTATTTTTGAGAGAGAGGGGGGCGGACAGAGAGAGAAGGAGACACAGAATCTGAAGCAGGCTCCAGGCTCTGAGCTGTCAGCACGGAGCCCGACGCGGGGCTCGAACCCACGAACCACAAGATCATGACCTGGGCTGAAGTCGGCAGCTTAACCGACTGAGCCACCCGGGTGCCCCCAAATGTTATACTTTCTGTTTTAATATTTGCTAATTTGATAGGCCAGTTTTTTTTTTTTTTTAATTTTTTTTTTTCAATGTTTTTATTTATTTTTGGGACAGAGAGAGACAGAGCATGAACGGGGAAGGGGCAGAGAGAGAGGGAGACACAGAATCGGAAACAGGCTCCAGGCTCTGAGCCATCAGCCCAGAGCCTGACGCGGGGCTCGAACTCACGGACCGCGAGATCGTGACCTGGCTGAAGTCGGACGCTTAACCGACTGCGCCACCCAGGCGCCCCAGATAGGCCAGTTTTAAAAATCTCCATTTCTTTAATTGCAGGTGAGCCTTTTCTCACCTGCAATGTTCTTTGTGAACATCCTTCATGCCCCAAATCCTCCCCTTGGATCTGCAATTCTTCTGGCTGTCTCCTCCCCCGGGCCGGCCCTTTGGTGACCCCCCTCCGCCAAGCTACCTGTTCTCTGGAAAGCCTGACACAGCAGGAATCTGGCCTCTTGAGTCTCTTTGGTTGCGTGGGTCATCAGCAAGTCTAGGAGCATGCTCGGTACTTGACCATCAGCATAGGCCCACCACTCACCTTGCCCCTCCTTTGAGTCTCTCCACAGCCAGCCTTGAACCTCCCACTCAGGTCCTACTTTCCGCTAAAGATCATCCTGACACCCCCTTCTGCATAAGCTCTCCACCCCCTCTTTCCCATGGACTTGGCTTGTGCCTCCATTTCAGTGGTGGGTCTATTTCCTACTAGCCAGGTGAGCCCCTGGAGAGCGGATGTTGCTTCTTCTCCCCCCTCCCTTCTCCTCTGCCCCCCTCTTTCTGCCCCAGGACTTAGAGCAGTGGCTCAAAGATAGGATCGCTTAACAAATGTCTGATGGAGCTGAGCTGGCGTTCTGGGGATCGAGAGCATGAACAGTAATTGGGAACTAATCATTTCTTCCACGTATTCCCTAATATTCTCAGTCTTTCATTCCTGAGAATTACAGCTATGATGCAAATGTTACATTTGTTATGTTTCCAAGTTCCACTTCCAGCATCAAAATGTAAAGTCTGGATTCAGAAACTTTGTACTTTCAGCCAGGAAGAGGTTTCCTACCTTGGGCATTGTGTTTTTGGCTCTGTGCTAGCTCTGTCCAATAGAAGCTTCTAATCACGGCCACATGTGGCTGCTGGGCACCTGAAATGTGTCTCGTGCAACTGAGGAGTTAAATTTTTTTAATTTTAGTTGCTTTTAACCAATGAGAATTTAAACTTCTATAGCCACGTGTAGCTAGCGACTAGCACATTGGAAAGCACAGCTCTATACATGATAAAAGGGGTACGGACTATTTTATAAAATTTAGAGACATATTTTAATTTTTCCCTTTTTTTTAATGAGCACATTACAACTAAAACTCTGATAGGCTAAATATTGTATTTCAGGCGATTAAATGCAGGGATCGCTATTAAGGTCAACGTGTGGACTTGATTTTTCTTTAAGACTTGCTAATCCATAAGTGACCCACCCACCACCGTTCCTGAATATCCCAGTGCTTGCTAACGCCTGCCCGGGGCCCTGCGGGTGTGTGTGTTTGCATTTATTCAAACGGAAGCGTCCTCTCTTACTCAGCACCCAGAAGTTTGCATATGAGTGCCGTCAGGTCAGAGGTGCAGGCTCTGCTCATCACAGTCACCACCTTTGAACAAAATCACACTAGGATACAGACTCTGTTGTTAATTCCGTGTTTCCTTTTCCAGAAGCCAAGCACACCAGATATTCTGAAACCTCTCAACCAAGAGAGTCCCAAACACCTTACTAACCCTGTTTCGAAGCAAGAGGACGTCTCATCCAGGCCAACGCCCAGCACTTTGTTCTCAGGAGGCTGGAGACACGTGAGTCTCATCTAACACTCTGGACCCCTGATGTGTGGCGGTCGCCATGATGTCGGACGGGGTCGGTAGGCGGGGGTAGGAGAGAAGTGTTGTCTGGTGGCATAAACTGGAACGTGACAACAGAACTTGGAGGTAATATTTATTTTACTCAGACTGGGAGCTGGGGAAACCTGGCTATATACTTTGATGGTTTTTCTTTCATACACACAGATAGCAGTGAATAATAAATAATGGCATATTTGGATGAGCAGTTTTTACTCTCAATGAGGTCAACGTATCAAATATTTCTCTTACAATTATTTCTGTGTCTTGTCTACCCACAAGTCATGAAGACATTCTCTTGTTCTCTTCTAGAAACTTTAGGAAAATTTCATTGTTCTGTGTAGGTCTGTGCCCCTGATCATTAATGTTTGTGAATAGTATAGGCTGAGGTTCATTCTTTCCACGTGGACACCCAGTTATTCCGGCACCCTTTGTTCACAAAACGACCCTCATTTCCCCATTGACTTCGGTATCTTTGTTGAAAATCAAGTAACCGTGCCGGAGTGGGTCTTTTTTGGGACTCTTCACTCTGTTCCTCTCCTCTCTGTGCTCTAGCCCAGACCACACTGTCCTGATTACTGCAGGAAGTCATGAAGTCAAGTTTCCTAAGTCCTTCAACTGTGCTCTTGTTTTTCAACATGTTTTAAAGGTTGGCTCTGTTGATAGGCAAGCCTTTTATTCATTCTTTTGTGGCTTCAAAAACACTGACGGAATGCTTACGTTCGCCTCAAATTGTGATATGTGGTGTGGCAGAGCCTTGGGTGACAGGTCACGAGGCCTCGATCACTGTGATAGCTCTCTACCTTATTAAATAATCTTAGACGGGCGCCTGGGTGGCTCAGTCGGTTGGGTGTCCGACTTTGGCTCAGGTCATGATCTCGCGGTTTGTGAGTTAGAGCCCCATGTCGGGCTCTGTGCTGACAGCTCGGAGCCTGGAGCCTGCTTCCGATTCTGTGTCTCCTCTCTGTGGCCCTCCCATGCTCATACTCTGTCTCTGTCTCTCAGTAATGAATAAACGTTAAAAAAATTAAAAAAAAAAATCTTAGACAATGGCAGAAACTCTCCAAACTTCAGTGTCCTCATCAAGGAAATGGGTATCAAGCCTGTTCTTTTTATTTCACTGGATTGTTTTGCGAATGAAAATGCACTCATTCCATGGTGTATTATAGTGGTTATGAGCTCAGCTTCCAGGGCCATCTGAGTGGCTCAGTCAGGTGAGGATCCGACTCTTGATTTCGACTCAGGTCATAATCTCATGTCTTATGGGTTCGAGCCCTATGTTGGGCTCCACACTGACGGTGCAGAACCTGCTCGGGATTCTCTCTCTCTGCCCCATCCCTGCTCATGCTTGCTTGCGCGCGCTCTCTCTCTCTCTCTCTCAAAATAAATAAACTTAAAAAAAATAAAAAGAACTCAGCTCCTAGAAACCACCTTCTTGGTTCACATTCCAGCTCCTGTAGTGTGACCCAGAGCAAGTCCCTTAACCTCTCTGTGCATTGGGGTGGTTGTGTTTTTTTGTTTTTTTTTTTTTTAATTTTTTTTTTTCAACGTTTTTTATTTATTTTTGGGACAGAGAGAGACAGAGCATGAACGGGGGAGGGGCAGAGAGAGAGGGAGACACAGAATCGGAAACAGGGTCCAGGCTCCGAGCCATCAGCCCAGAGCCCGACGCGGGGCTCGAACTCACGGACCGCGAGATCGTGACCTGGCTGAAGTCGGACGCTTAACCGACTGCGCCACCCAGGCGCCCCGGGGGTGGTTGTGTTTTTATGGAAAATGATACTCACTTTAGAAAACGATTAACTTACCCCCATCCTATCTATCAGATCCTATCAGATGAATATCTGGTAGAACATTACAAAGTCACGGCAAAAGCAGGCCAGACCCGTGCACTGAATAGGTAACATCCTAGACTCAATCTGCTAAATGCTGGCAGCTCCCAAACCAGCCCTTCACTGAGTGGTCCTGCCTCTTTCGGAACCACTGCTCTATACCCGCACTACTCAAAATGTGGGACCAGCAGCCCTGGCATCACCTGGGACCTTCCAGAAATCAGAGTCTCTGGCCCCATCCCAGACCTACTGGGTCAGAATCTGCAATTTAACAAGAGCCCCAGGTGATTCATATGCACCATGAAGTTTGAGAAACGCTGCTTGAGCTCTAGCAGTTTCAAACCTGAGTAAAGTATGTCATTTGTTAAGGATTTCTTAACAGTCAAGGGCCATGCTGTCCACTACAGTAGCCATTAGTCACATGTGACTGTCGAGCACTTGAATTATGGCTAGTCCGAAATGAGTATATAAAATACACACTGCCCAGGAGCTGATTATAATGTTTTTTGTCAATTATATCTAAATAAATAAAATACACACTGGGTTTTAAAGACTTAAGTAGGAAAAAATATAAAGGTGTCAATAATTTTTATATTGACATAGGTTGAAATGATAGTATTTTGGATATATGACATTAATAAAATGTACAGGCATACCTCATAGATACTGTCACTTCCAGGCCACCTCCGTAAGGTGAAGATCATAATAAAGTCAAATGAATGTTTGTTTCCAGTGCATATAAAAGTTATGTTGGGGTGCCTGGGTGGCGCAGTCGGTTAAGCGTCCGACTTCAGCCAGGTCATGATCTCGCGGTCTGGGAGTTCGAGCCCCGCGTCAGGCTCTGGACTGATGGCTCAGAGCCTGGAGCCTGTCTCCGATTCTGTGTCTCCCTCTCTCTCTGCCCCTCCCCCGTTCATGCTCTGTCTCTCTCTGTCCCAAAAAATAAATAAACGTTGAAAAAAAAAATTAAAAAAAAAAAAAAGTTATGTTCACCCTACACCCTAGTTGGTTTCAGTGTGCAATGACATTATGTCTAAAAAAAAACCGATGTACGTGCCTTAATTAAAAAATACTTTATTGCTAAAAAAAATGCTACCCATCATCCTCTGAGCTTTGAGTTGTAATCATTGATCACAGATGTCCATAACAAATATAGTAATGATGAAACTGTTCGAAAGATCGTGAAAATTACCAAAATGTGACACAGGCACGAAGTGAACAAACACCGTGGTTAGAACGGCAGTGTAGACTGGCTGGAAACGGGGTTCCCACAGACCCTCAGTTTGCGAAACACACAACATCTGTGAAATGCAATAAAACCAGGGATGCCTGTATTATTAAAATTGATCTCACCTGTTTTTAAAAAATAGGCCACTGGGGAATTTTAAATAGTTTTTTAAGTTTATTTATTTTGAGAGAGAGAAAGCACACACACAAACAGGCAGGGGAGGGGCACAGAGAGAGAGAGAGAATCCCAAACAGGCTGTGGGCACAGAGTCCGACGCAGGGCTCGATCCCACGAACTATGAGAGGATGACCTGAGCTGAGATCTAGGGTCAGACACAGGTGCCCCTGGAGAATTTTAAATGACAGATTCGGCTCACATTCTAGTTCTGTGGAACAGCACCGGTCTGGGTACTGTGATTGTGCGTTCAGTGGCACCTGGGATGATCTAATGTGGAATTACCCAAATGTTGCGTCATGCGCCTCTGTGCGCTTCCTGGGAAGAAGGTTCGTGTTTCCATCAGTTCTCAGACAGGTCTGCACACCCACACTGGTCAAGGACCAGGAGTGAAAAGCAAACTCGGTTCACACAAGTTCTTCCTGGGAGCCTCCCGAGTCCCAGGGGGTGTAACCACCTGCCCCCGGGGAAGAAACGACCCTGCGCCCTGGCCCTCTGCTTCTTGGTGCCTTTTCGTTCCAGAGACTGAGGTGGTGAGAACCTCGGCTAGCCGGGCCAGGAGGCCTCAGAAAGCTATGCTTGAGGGTGGGTTAGCCCCTTTCTTCACAGCTGGGTGTTGTAGGTGCTGGAGAATAGTTCAGCGAGGTGGAAGAGCAGAGGAAACGCTTCTCTGAGGGTGAGATAGGCAAGGATGGTTCCAGAACATTCTCTCATTGGGTTCAACCCTGAGGTGGGTCTGAGACAGGAAGAGCTTTTCCAAGATTCTCTGCAAGGTTTGCCCCTACTCCAGCCGATGGAAGGATGCCAGCTAGCTTGAGCTTTTTTTAAAAGGCTGGTCCTGAGGGTGACGCTAGCCTTCTGGGAGAGTCCAAGGGGCAGCTTCCCCAGAACTGCCCAGGGTCCCACAGACTAAACTCTAAGCTCCTCCAGGGGCCAGAATCATGTCTTTGGATGCCCAGAAACTAACACATAGGCATGGACATGAGCTAGGATCCACCCCATGTGGTCCACGAGGCCCCACACGACTTCCCACACACGCCCCACCTGCCCCCTTGCTCGTTCCACACAACCGCACTGGTCGTTGAACACGCGAGACGCAAGCCTGCCCTGGGGGCATTTCTGCCCTCTCCCATGTGGCACCACACCCATTGACTCCCTTCCTTTAAATCTTTGCTCCAAGGTCACATTGTAGGCGGGGTCTACCCCCTGCCCTGTCCTGCCCTCCATCGCCCTTACCTTCTCTCTGTTACCCATATTCTTATCACCTTCTATAGTTGTGTAATTGGTTTATCTGTTGTTTGTTGTCTCCTGTAAGTCCCACGTGCCCAAGCAGTGCCTGACCCTGAAGCAGCACTTGGTAAACACGTGCGGAATGACCGTGTTACTCCTACCCGGAGCTCTGGTTTCCTGAAAGCCTACTGTGTGCTAACGACCGAGCCAGGTGTCTCCCCTGGCAATCGTTCGCACAACCATCTGGTCAGGTGGATGCTATTGTCACATTTCGCAAATGGGAAGGCAGGTTCCCAGAGGTTAAGGCGGCTCACTGAGGTCAGACGGTAACCGCTGAGCCCTGACTCAACACCCAGAGCCGCGCGAGTCAAAGCCCTGGGGTTCCGTTGGGCTCTCCGATGGAGTGGGTTTCCTGCCCTCAGTCCCTGGTTCAGCTGCACTGGCCTGGGGCCGCCCCGCACCTAGAAAACCTCTCGGACTGCTGGGAAATGATG